AATGAAATGAATACGTTTAATCATGTATGTAATCAATGTGTAATGCAATGTTGTTAATTTTTGCATCCGGCGGGATTTTATGGCTTTCCAATGGAATTTCATAATTATACTTGCCGGCAAAACCTGGACAAATCCCAAACTTCAAAAAAATGGAGTTGATATTTTACAAATATATTCTTTATAAGAATATATTTTATTTGTTTAATTAAATCTTAGACCATGCAAAATTAATTGGTTTTCATAGCCCAACCGGGTCAAAATTTATGTTTTAATAACCGGGTGGGTTTTGAAAGAAATTTTTTATATATGAAATTTAAAAAAAAAAAAAACCGACCGGCCGAGTCTGTTTAAAAGTTTCATGTTATGAAAACCAGGATATTAAATTTGTGCGGCCTTATTAATAAAGTTTTTGAGAGTTTAGTTTGGCCAGAATTTGGGATTTGGGCGTGGACAAACCCAAGTCATGATAATTTGGTACTTAGGCGGCAAATATAAATTTATAAAAGTAAAAGGCCCTATAATATTATTGCTTCTGTGGATTCCAGATAACCGCCAATGCAAACACCAATGTAATACATATTAAAATTTGCTGCTAGGCTTCAAAGTCGGCGGTAGTTCCTCCGGTAGCTCACCACCACTCGTAACGGCCTTACAAAGATGTAAAGCCACCGCAAATTCATCAATATCCATGTATCCATCTCCATCCCAATCTGCCAATTTCCAAACCTTTGCTAATACAGCCTTTTCTAAACCTGTGTCCATTAATACCGGTTTAACAGATTCTCCGCTTACTTTACCGTTATTTGGTTTCAAAGCATTAAATTGTGCTAGAGCTTCTTGTTTGTTAACTGCTGAGAAATCCCAGTAACTTGGTGGTAGATCTAATCTAGCGCTATTCTTGGCTACTGATAATGACATATCGAAAGGATTACGTTCCGCGGGTGGTAACATTCGATTTCCTTGTGGAATTTTAGACATCAACTTTGGTAAATCATTAGATAAGGCCTAGTATAAAATCGTTAGTTGTTATTGATTTGACAAATATTTTAATATTCTTATATGCAAATCTTACATACATCATCAACCTTTTCAATTAGTTGAGATTTTAAATTGTTGAACTTATCAAACTTGTATACAGTAAGGCCAGCTTTAAATCGCTCCAGATTTGGAAAATCGCCAGGTGCTAAGCGATGACGGTGTTGAATTTTTACAAATTCTTGATCTAATTTTTCAATAAGATCCTTTTGTTTGGATTCCTTGCCAAATAAAGAAGGCATTTCTTTTTTCAAATGTCCAATGATATAAG